CAGTGCACATAGTAGGAGCCCAATCAATGTCTGCTAAGTGCTAAAAAAAACTGTAAGGGGATGGCACAAGATCATTGTTTAGTCACTCAAGGGAAACTGTCTAAAGAAGTTGGCTCAAGTGGAGTTCTAGGCAGTATAATACAGGCTGCTCTGATTTTTTTTAATTGAAAAGATACTGCATTCTCTGTAAACTGACAGCCTCCTTCTGTCTCACTGCCTTACACAGTGGAGTAACATCAGAGATCGTTACGACTCACCCAGCCAACAACCAGTCTCTTTGCTGAGCTCTGAAGAATCACTCCAACTTTACTTACAATTTACATTATGGAAATCGGGCCCCAGCAAGGCTTGAAACTGGGTGTGGCACAGGGGGATACAGAGACATAAACATGTGGGGATTGTCCTCGGTTTACTCAGTTCCTGGGAGATAAGATATCCCGGACACCAGATAAATTATACAGTGTAATCTCTTGAAGGAGTAAGGACACAGGTTCTCAGGAGAGAGCTCACTGTGAATTGGAACAGAAGTGATCAGAAAAGTATTCAAGAAAAAGAAATCTCTTTAAAGAAGAAATAATTTTCACTGGTGGTAAGTTGGAAGTAGAAGTAGGAGGGAAGGTTTTCATTTCACAGAAATATCAGAAAGTAAATGTCAACATTGGAACATTTGAACTGTGTCCGCTAAGTGCTTTGACCTTGACCAGCATTTGACTTTGTTACTCGCTAGTGTTTTGGTCAGTGTTGCTGCCAGGTGGTCTTTGCATTTAAAACCTTAAACCTCTAATGAGTGTCTGGATCTCCTGGTAAAGAGGTTTCCATCACATGTAGCGGGGCGGGAGGCGGGGGAATGGGGACAGCACTGTAGTCAGCAAGTTAAACGTGGCGCCAGATCTGAGTTCACTGGCTTAAATAAAACATATCTAGTCCTTGGAAGGCAAGGATTCATATCTGCTGAGGAAGCACCCCTGGAAGAAGCAAGGAGGCCCGTTTGAGCCTCCAGAGCAGCCCTAGTGGGAAGTCCTGGTGAATTTCCCCACTGAGAAGCCGATTTTAGGGTGACGGAGGTGAGCAGCCGCTCGCCTCTCTTCCTGGTTTTCACTTTGTCCCTTGCCTCCTGACTCCAGCACATTCCACTTTTCTCATCACCTGGACTGCTCTGCCAGACCTCATTTCCTCTGTTCTAGGACAGCAAAGCCTGCCAGAGGTGTTCTAAAAAGGCATCTTAACTAGGATACTCCATAGGCTCTCAAGCTAAGGAAAGGATGAGGAAAAGTCACAGCAGGTTGTTCATGATGGATATTGAGTCAGGTCCGTAGAGCAGCCCTGAGTGGGCACAGCCCTTTCCTAGCTGCTTGGTGGTGCCCGACAAGGGCGGCCCCTCCACTCACAGCAGCTGGATCACACTGACTCAACCTTGGCTGTGTCCTGGGAACACTGGGGGCATGGCAAGGGACACCAGTGAGCTGGGAGAACTGGCATCACTTCCCCTGTGTCACTGCATAAATTCCGGTGGATGTTTTTGATGGAGCCAAGTCAGGTCTCTGAAGCATTTTGCTCCATTGGTCTGCCCTTCCGGTTATGGAAAGAGAATCTACATAAAGTAGCTGAAGTAAATCTAACAGCAGAGCAGAGAGCTCTCTTTGTGGACATGAAACTAAAGCAGGTATTTCTCTGATTCTGTCCAACCAAGACCATCTTTAGACTTTGATTAGAATCGACACCTTGGTTTCGTGTTGTCACCACCATCACTACTCTTATTCCAGATTTGACTTCATTACTTTTTCTTTTAAACACTAACCAGAGCAAAAAAGCATTAGAGTAAGATCCTTAATACCAAAAAATCATCTCGAGGAGAAGTTTAAATACTTCTTTGAAGTCTAGTCTTGATGAAAATTGCTTCTGCTCCATGGTTCTGGTAGAGATTCATATTTCTGAAAACTTTTTATCATTCTTGGACAAACAAGTTTTTACACTTGTAGCTTCTGTGTTTTACATTAAATTTTTTTCTTTTTTCTTTTTTTTTTGCTAAAGATACAGTGTCTTTATGTATCAACAGAGCATATTAATTGCAGTTATAGAAAGAGCATTGTATGAAAAGTTTTTCCAGGAGAATTATTTGTGGGAGAGTTTCACAAATGGTCAGGGACCCACAGGAGGAGTAGGTAAGGCTTCCGCAAGTCACATGGTGCTAGGATTCTTTATTTGCTTTTTTGCCCAAGAGACAGAGCAGAGAGTCTGGAAAAATGTGCCCTCAAGAGAACATAATGCATCATCATAGGCCAGAATGACTCACAGGAGCCATAAATCAAGAAATCATGAGTGACGGAGTGTGTCATTTAACCCCCTGCTAGTGCCTCCAACTGACCATTAATAGAAAAGCATAAAAATATTTGAAACTAGGTTTTGTTTTTTTTTTGTAAGGACTAATTCAAAGTTATGCAGGCATCACATTGGCAATTACAAAATTGAAAGCCACCATGATTGAGGGAGGGTCTCAATATTTTCATACCTTTTCAAATATTAGGAGTTCTGATACAAAGTGCCAGTTACCAGACACACTTACCTTATACAAGTGACAAACATAGGACTGAAGCCCATGCCAGAAACCAGCCAGCAAATAGCTACAATCTATTTAGTCCCAATTGCAGTTTCCTTGCAGTAGCTGAACCGAGACATAGCTTAAATGATTCCGTTCTAATTTCAGTTTATAGAATCACATTCTTAATGTCAGTTTTTTAATGTGCATTATTTTTGAGGCCAAAATGCTTTGATCATAATCACTTTACAAGCATGAAGGGAGAGTTTCCATGTGATGGCAAAGCAACGTTTTACAAATGTCTTGGATTTTTTTTCCCTTCCCTCCCTTTCTTTTCTTCTTTTTTTTTCCCCCAATATAGAATATTGAATATTGAATA